TTTTTGAGTTGGAGTCTCACTCTGTTGCCCAGGCTGGAGTGCAGTGGCACACTCACGCTCACAGCCACCACAGCCTCAACCTGCTGGGCTCAGGCAATCCTTCCGTCTCAGCCTTCCAAGTAGCTGGAATTACAGGCATGCACCATTACACCTGGATAATTTTTCTTGATTTATTGTACAGATGAAGTCTCGCCAAGTTGCCCAGGCTGGTCTTGAACCCATGGGCTCAGGCAGTCCTCTCACCTCAGCCTCCCAAAGTCCTGGGATTATAGGTATGAGCCACCACACCCAGCCTGAGTTCTTCCTTTTAATTCTTTTGGGTAAATACCTAGAAGTGGAATTTCTGGGCCATATGGTAACTCTGTTAAATTTTTTGAGGAACCAACAAACTTTCCCACTGTACCATTTTACATTCGCCCCAACAAGGCATGAGGGTTCAAATTTTTCCACATCCTTGTCAACACTTGTTATTTCCCCCCTTTTTTTAAACATGCTCTGCCAAGTTTTATTATAAAGAACAATTTTGCATGTTTTACTTTTCATCAGTCTGTTCTGGTATGTTTCTAATGATGTCAGAATCACTTGGATTGATGATAGCCAGCGTGCATACTCTGTAGTATTTTCCACATGCTGTGCCCAATTCAATATTATTGCCACTGTAGTGATGGACACCAGTTTGGCCAACATAGATTTCCTCAAAGCCAGGCACTTGTTGGCAAGGATGACAAATTTCGCTTTGCCTTGTTGGATCATCTTTAGAGTCTGTACCCCAGCACGTACTTTCCTCTTTTTGTAACCAGTTGAAGCCTTGAGTCGATAGACTCCAGCGACTTTTTTGTCTTCTTTGCGGCCACCATCTTTCTGCCTTAGGTGCGAGACAGCCCTCAACCTAAAGCAGCTGCCAAGATGGCCCTATTTTCCCTTTCATGATGGCCATCCTAGTGGGTATGAAGTAGTATCTCATTGTAATTTTGGTTTGCATTTCCCTGATGACTAATGATGTTACAGAGCAGATTTTTTTTAATATTTAGAAGAGGGTCTGGAATGATTCACTCCCAAAGGTTCTAGTGGCTGCTTCTGGGGAAAAGGCGCTGAGGTGTCAGTGGTGGAAGGCAATGGACTTGGACTTTGCTTTTATACATTTCATGTGTTTTTATACCTACTTCTATAGTAATCATTTTTTAAATAAAATGTAATCATTTTTTAAATAAAATGTTTCATTTTTATGTTAAAAACATTAGAGCAGGAATGTGACTGTAGTTGCCTGTACTGCAGTGTCCTCTAGATGGTTTGCAGGGAGACACCAGAGTGGAGCTTTTGTTCTGCCTCCAGTTAGAAGTTTGAGAGGTACATTGACCAGTCAGCTCCAGAATCCCTTCAGAGTCCAGCAGACTCAGGCCCAGATTGTGGTCCTTCAGGGAGAGTCTTTATGTGACCACAAGCTGAGACATCAATGCCGGGCTTGCAGCTAATGCCTCCCTCTTGCCCTATGTGATAGTTTTTTCAGTTAACAGCTGTATCCTGGGGCTGGGAAGGAGCTGCTCACAGTCTGTTCTCTGCTCTTGACTTCACTGGTGCTGAGTTGTGCTGAGGTTTGGCTCTGATGCTGCTGACACAGTGATTGGAGACCAAACCAGCGCAGCTGAAAACGGTCTTGGCATTTTGTTTGTTTAATGAGTATGCCAAAGAGGCTCGGCCGCAGCAGTTGTTGTCCAACTTCTGTTTGGTTCTGAGTGCCCAGAACCAGCCACACAGTAGGTGCCTAATAAGTGTTCAGTGGAGGTGACTGTATTATGCAGTCATAGGAGAATAAAGGGGAATTTGGGGATGTGTCAAGAATTACTGTCAGAGTGTACACGGAATGTTGAAGGCTTTGGGGTTTTTCTTATGTGAGCCAGGTTCAGCAATCTTGTGGAGTTCATAAATCTTAGGAATTTGCAATTTGCTTTAGAGATTACCCAGAACAATCTCTTACCTTATTTAGGATTTCCTCTACCTCATCCTGTTAGAACATAAGCTCCACAGGACAGGGACCAGGCCTAGCAGAGGAGAGGTGCGTCCTTGAGGAGGCATTCCCAGGATGTTATTTCTCCCTGATGGTGCTGCTTAATTTTCAGAAAGTCTGTTTCACAGGACAGATGCATATATTAGGAAGTTTTAAATTTTATTAATTTTAAAAAATTAAACCCAAATCTGGCCTCCCTAGAATTCATTTCTGATGGTCTAGTTTTGCCTTTACAAGAACAGTGGATATTTATTGATGTCATTGATTTAGCCCTTTTTTTAAAGCTGGAGTCTCACTCTGATGCCCAGGCTAGAGTGCAATGGCACAATCACAGCTCACTGAAGCCTCGAACTCCTGGGCTCAGGTGATCCTTGTGCCTCAGCCCCACCAGTAGCCAGGGCTACAGGTGCGTGCCACCACGGCTGGCTAATTTTTATTTTTTTATTTTTTGTAGAGACAAGATCTTGCTATGTTGACTAGGCTGGTCTTGAACCCCTGGGCTCAAGCAATCCTCCTGCCTCCGCTTCTTAAAGTACTGGGATTACAAGCGTGAGCCACCATGCCCAGCCTAACTTAGAACTTTATGGTGGGGGAGGAGTTTCTTCTTTTTTTTTGAGACAGGGTCTTGCTCTGCCACCCAGGCTGAAGTTTTGTGGCAGAATCATAATTCACTGCAACCTCAACCTCTTGGATTTAAGAAATCTTCCCTGCTGAGTACAGTGGCTCATGTTTGTAATCCCAGCATTTTGGGGACTGAGTTCAAGAGTTTGCAGTCAGCCTTGGCAACATAGTGAGACCTCGTCTCTACAAAAAAATTTAAAAAATTAGTTGGACATGGTGGCCCATGCCTGTAGATCCAGATACTTAGTAGGCTGAGGTAGAAGGATCACTCTGGATCCAGGAGGTTGAGGCTACAGTGAACCGTGATCGCACCACTATACTCCAACCTGGGTGTCAGAGTGAGGTCCCAACTCAAAGAATAAAAAATCCTTCTGCCTCTGCCTGCTGAGTAGCTGGGACTATAGACACAAGCCACCACACTTGGCTAATTTTAATATTTTTTTGTAGAGATGGGTTCTCCCTGTGTTCCCCAGGCTGGTTTTGAACTCCTGACCTCAAGTAATCCTCCTGACTCAATCTTTGAAAGTTCTGGGATTACAGACATGACCCACCAACCTCACCCAACCTCTAAAACTTTATATGTACTAATGTCATTTAAAAAGATCAGTCCTTTGTAGCAGGAATCCCCAAGCCCCAGGCCATGGACCAGTACCAGTCCATGGCCTGTTAGGAACTGGGCCACACAGCAGGTGAGCGGTGGGCAAATGAACGAAGCTCCATCTGTATTTCTAGATGTCCCCATCACTTGCATTACCACCTGAGCTCCGTCTCTTGTCAGATCAGTGGTGGTATAAGATTCTCATAGGAGCACTAGCCCTATTGTGAACTGCACAAGCAAAGGATCTAGGTTCACACTTCTTAGGAGAATCTAATGCCTGATGATCTGAGGTGGAGCTGAGGCAGTGTTGCTGTTCTGGGGAGCAGCTACAAATACAGATTGACATTAGCAGTGAGGTTTGCACAGAGACCATAATAAATCGATTGCCTGAAGACATATCAAATCCTATCAGTGAGTGGCAAGCGAGTTGACGTACTTCAGTTGTACAGCTGCATCTGGTGGCAGGCTTTCAGTCAGAATCTGACACTTATTTTAGTCTGCATGTGGCCTGTCCATTATGTTATCTACCACTTCCATCCATGCCTCTTTTTTTAATAATTATTTGCGTTATATATTTTTTATAATTATAGTTGTATGATTATTTCATTATATCTGACAATATAGATAATAGAAATAAAGTGGACAATAAATGAATCATCCCCACCCATCCCCCTCCTGGTCCATGGAAATGTCTTCATGAAACTGGTCCCTGATGCCAAAAAGGTTGGGGACGGCTGCTTTATAGTCTAAATCTGACTAGCCATAGCAACCTGGCTGCAGCAAATTGTGGTATGTCTGTCTCCCTACTTGGGGAGATAATTAGACATTCTCAAACCAGTGTCCATACAGTGTAATCCTGTCTTCTGAGTTGCAATTAAACCTGCCTTGCCTGAGGACTGATAGCCACCTTCTTTGTGTTTTTAGGGGATTTCTCAAGCTGCCAGATACGTTTACCGACGACTCATCAATGATGGGATTTTGAGCCAAGCCTTCAGTATTGCTCCTGTGAGATTTTACTGAATTAGTCTTTTCTTTTCCTGTCATGAGCTGCTTATTGAGCTTTAACCTTGACCTCATTTTGCTTTTTGTCCTCCAGGAATATCAACTAGTCATCGTGGGCCACAGCCTGGGGGCTGGAGCTGCTGCCCTGTTAGCCATCATGCTAAGAACCTCCTACCCACAAGTCAGGTGCTATGCTTTCTCCCCACCCCGGGGGCTGTTAAGGTAATTCTTAGTTTTCCTGTATCTAACCAGTTGCTACTTACGAGTCATGTGGTCAAGACTCATCTTTTAATTTAATTCAACTTAATTATAATTTCTCATCCTCAACAGAGTTTTGGGTTTTGAGGCACTATTTAACTGAAGAGAGAATGAATGGCCTTTCTTGGATCTACCTAAATGATTTCATTCTAAGATTCTTTTTTTTTTTTTGAGTTGGAGTCTCACTCTGTCACCCAGACTGGAGTGCAGTGGCTGCTCCCGGCCACCACAGCCTCAACCTGCTGGGCTCCGGCGATCCTTCTCCCTCGGCCTTCCAAGTAGCTGGAACTACAGGTGCGCGCTACCGTGCCCGGCTAATTTTTTGATTTGTTGTAGAGATGAGGTCTCACCAAGTTTCCCAGGTGGGTCTCGAACCCGCGGGCTCAGGCAATTCACTCACCTCAGCCTCCCAAGGCGAGGGATTACAGGCTGAGCCACCGAGCCCAGGTAGATTCTTTTTCATAATAGACTTTATTCTTTAGAGCAGTTTCGTGTGCACAGCAAAATTGAGCTGAAGGTACCACCATTTCTTTTCTGCCCCCCCACTTGCACAGCCTTCCTCATTGCCAGCATCTCCAACCAGAGTGGTACATTTTTTACAGACTATGAACCTACGTGGACACATCATCACCCAGAGTCCATAGTGTACATTAGGGTTCACTCTTGGTGGTATGTAATCTATGGGTTTGGACAAATGCATAATGACATTTTTATGAGTTTGAAAAGTACTGTTTTCTTGCTGATTCAACATATTTACCATTGTTCTATGTAACCTTTTTCCCTGGTTACGAAAGAAATTTCTACCACAATAAAAAAAAAATAGGCTGGGCGTGATGGCTCAAGCCTGTAATCCCTGATGCTGAGGATTTGGGAGGCTGAGGCAAGAGGATTGCCTGAGCTCAGGGGTTCGAGATCAGCCTTGGCAACTTGGTGAGACCTCGTCTCTACTATAAATCAAAAAAATTTGCTGGGCATAGTAGTGCACACCTGTAGTTTCAGCTACCTAGAAGGCTAAGGTGGAAGGATCACTTGAGCCCAGCAGGTCAAGGCTGCGGTGGCCGTGAGCGTGCCACTGCACTCCAGTCTAGGTGACAGAGTGGGACTCTGACTCAAAAAAAAAAAAAGAGCCGGGCTCGGTGGCTCAGCCTGTAATCCCGTGCCTTTGGGAGGCTGAGGTGAGTGGATTGCCTGAGCCCGTGGATTCGAGACCCGCTTGGGCAGCGAGAGCTCATCTCTACAATAAATCAAAAAATCAGCCGGGCGTGGTAGTTCATGCCTGTAATTCCAGCTCCTTGGAAGGCTGAGGCGGAAGGATCGCCAGAGCCCAGCAGGTCAAGGCTGCGGTGGCCAGAAGCAGCCACTGCACTCCAGTCTGGGTGACAGAGTGAGACTCCAACTCAAAAAAAAAAATAAAAGATAAAAAAATAAGGAAAAAACATGAGCTGGGCATGGTGGCACACATCTCCCAACTACTCAGGAGGCTGAGGCAGGAGGATCGCTTGAGCCCAGGAGTTCAAGGCCACATTGAGCTATGATCATGCCACTGCACTGTATCCTGGACAGCAGAGCATGACCCTGTCTTTAAAAAATAAATACATAAGAAATTGCTTATTTTTTAATCATCCGGCTACCCTATTTTTATTTATTTTACTACTGGTGGATATTTATATTCTTTTCATTTTTCAATATTATAAATATATCAGTATCTTATACATAAATATTACTGTACTTAAAAATGTTTTTTTTTTGAGTTGGAGACTCACTCTGTCACCCAGGCTAGAGGACAGCCACCCCAACGTTGACTTGCTGGGCTCAGACAATCTACTCACCTCAGCCTCCCAAAGTGCTAGGATTACAGGCTGAGCCACCAAACCCAGCCTTAAATTTCTTAAAGCTCTTTTTTAAAATATGTATATTATTGGCCAGGCGCTGTGGCTCAAGCCTGTAATCCTAGCATTTTGGGAGGCCGAGGCAAGAGGATTGTCTGAGCCCAGGGGCTCGAGACCAGCCTGGGCAACTTGGTGAGACCTCATCTCTACAATAAATCAAAAATCAGCCGGGCGTGATAGTGCTCACCTATAGTTCTGGCTACTTGGAAGGCTGAGGCAGAAGGACCGCCTGAGCCCAGCAGGTCGAGGCTGCAGTGGCCATGAGTGTGCCACTGCACTCCAGCTTAGTGACAGAGCAAGATTCCAACTCCAAAAAAACACAAAAAAAAATATATATATATATATATATATATATATATATATATATGCATGAGAGTAGCTTTTTTTTCTTTTTTATTCTATTGTTTCAGTTTAAAATTGATCTTTATTTTCTGTCAGAGAGATTCCCATTTGTTTTAACTTTAAAATCATCTTGAATGAGCGTGACTTTTTAAAATAATTGATTTTGTTGTGAAACAAAGATAAAACATACATTTTTGAGAATAATAGTAAGCAAACATCCATATAACCTGGATACATTTTGCTATGTGAAAAAAGCCCAGCACAAAAGACTACTTAAGTGTTGTATGATTCCTTTATAGGGACATGCTAGACAAGGCACATCTATGACAGTACATTGGCAGTTGCCTGTGTTTGGATTTGGGATTGGGGCTGGGAATGACTGCAAAGGGACACAGAGAGCTTTTGGGGGTGATGGAAATATTCTATGTCTCAGTTGTGGTAGTAGTTACACAATCACACACATTTATCAAAACAAAAAATGGGTGACTTTATGTAAATCACACTTCAGTAAGCTGATTAAAAAACATACATGCAGCCGGCTCGGTGGCTCAGCCTGTAATCCCATGCCTTTGGGAGGCTGAGGTGAGTGGATTGCCTGAGCCCGTGGGTTCGAGACCCGCCTGGGCAGGCGAGACCTCATCTCTACAATAAATCAAAAAAAAATGAGCCGGGCGTGATAGTGCGTGCCTGTAGTTCCAGCTACTGGAAGGCTGAGGTGGAAGAATTGCCGGAGCCCAGCAGGTCGAGGCTGCGGTGGCCGGGAGCGGCCACTGCACTCCAGTCTGGGTGACAGAGTGAGACTCCAACTCAAAAAAAAAAAAAAAAAAATACATGCATCTCAACCCCCACACCCAAGTTGAGCAATAGAACACTGTTAATGCCCTAGAAGTCCTTTGTATCCCTCTCCCTTCCTGCCCACAGATGATCACTATCCTGATCTTTATGGAAATTCTTCTGTTGCTTTACAAATTGTCTTACCACCTATATACATGCCTAAGTAATATAATTTGGTTTTGCTTGATTTTTAACTTTATATGAATGAAATTATACTATTTTTTTCCTGTGTCTTCCTTTCTTTACTCCATACTATGCTTGATACTTGTATAATGTTATTCTATAGATTCTCATTATATTCCATCATACCTCTATCACCAGTTATTTTACCTATTTATTCATGATGGACACTGTGTTGTGTCCAGTGTGAGGCTATCACAAACCTTTTCTGAAATGTATATCTAGATCACAGAGTTGCTCACACTTAAGCGGAAGGTGACAGTGTTTATTTGACAAGGTGGCCAATATATACCTTCGCCAGGGATGTACAAGAGTTCACCTTAGCCGGGCTCGGTGGCTCATCCTGTAATCCTGCGCCTTTGGGAGGCTGAGGTGAGTGGATTGCCTGAGCCTGCGGGTTCGAGACCCGCCTGGGCAGCGAGACCTCATCTCTACAATAAATAAAAAAATCAGCCGGGCGTGGTAGCGCATGCCTGTAATTCAGCTGCTGGGAAGGCTGAGGCGGAAGGATCGCCGGAGCCCAGCAGGTCGAGGCTGCGGTGGCCGGGAGCGGCCACTGCACTCCAGTCTGGGCGACAGAGTGAGATTCCAACTCAAAAAAAAAAAAAAAAGAGTTCACCTTGCTCCATATTCTCACCAACCCCGATTAGTTCTGTCAAAATTATTACATTTTGCCAATCTCATGGGTGTATAGTGATGTTTCGCTGTGGTTTAATTTGCAGTTCTGCAATTACTAATGAAGTTGAGTCTCAATGTTTGTTGGCTGTTGAGTTTGCATTTGTGAAGTTCCTTTTGCCCATTTTTTTCAAGTATACTTTTCATGGATATTCTGTACTTCAGTTTTTTGTTGGCTGCAAATATGTTGTAAATATGCTCTCCACTCCTTGATGTGTCTTTTTTCCTCACTTTTTTTTTTTTTTTTTGGAGTTGGAGTCTCACTCTGTCACCCATGGTTGGAGATCAGTGGCACACTCATGGCCACCACAGCCTCAACCTGCTGGGCTCAGGCGATCCTCCTCCGCCTTAGCCTTCTAAGTAGCTGGAACTACAGGCATATGCCACCACACCCGACTACTTTTTCCTCACTTTAAATTGTGTCTTCAGCCTATCAGTTCTTTTAACATTACCTAATTTATTGGTCTTTTATGATTTTTCCATTTTTTGTTTCTGATTTAAGAACTTTTTATCCATCCCAAAAATATGGAACTAGTCTCCTATATTATCTTCTAAAAACCTATTGGTTTGATTTATCACCTTTATTTAGGTTCTTAATCTCTTTTGAACTGCTTTTTTTTTTTTGTATATAGTGTGAAGTAGGGATGCAGTCTTTCTTCCCCCATGGACAATAAATTATCTTAGCACTGTTTATTGAAAAGTCCATCCTTTCTCTTACAACCATTCAGTAACACTTCTGTCATTTATAAGTACCCATATTCACATGAGTCCATTTCCATGACTTTCTTCTCTGCCTTTGTTCTAATTGTCTCTCTGCTCTAATACCACACTGAGTTGATTACTTTAGTTTTATATTAAGTGTTGACATCTATTCGTGCAGCTCTCCATGCCTTTTACTTTTACTTTTTTTTTTTGAGTCGTAGTCTCACTCTGAAACCCAGGCTGGAGTGCAGTGGCACGCTGTTCACGACCACCGCAGCCTTGACCTGCTGGGCTCAGGCAGTCCTTCTACCTCAGTCTTCCAGGTAGCTGGAACCACAAGCATGTGCCACCATGCCCAGCTAATTTTTTTGATTTATTGTAGAGATGAGGTCTCAACATGTTGCTCAGGCTGGTTTCGAATCCCTGAGCTCAGGCAATCCTCTCTCCTCCGCCTCCCAAAGTGCTGGGATTACAGGCAAGAGTCGCTGCGCCCTTTTACTTTTTTTTTTTTTTGAGTTGGAGTCTCACTCGGTCACCCAGACTGGAGTGCAGTGGCTGCTCCCGGCCACCGCAGCCTCGCCTGCTGGGCCCCGACAATCCTTCCACCTCAGCCTTCCGAGTAGCCGGAATTACAGGCATGCGCTACGACGCCCGGCTGATTTTTTTGATTTTATTGTAGAGATGAGGTCTCACTGCCCAAGCGGGTCTCGAACCCGCGGGCTCAGGCAATCCACTCACCTCAGCCTCCCAGAGGCACGGGATTACAGGCTGAGCCACCGTGCCCGGCTCCTTTTACTTTTTCAAGAGCATCTTTGCTATTCTTAGTCCCTTGCATCTCCATATACATTTTAGAATCAGCTTTTTAAGTTCCTTAAACAAACAGCTTGTTGGATTGTGATTTGAACTACCTTATTTTCTAGTTCAGTTGGGAGAGAATTGACATCTCCACATTATTAAGATTTCCATTCTCTGAACATTATATTACTCTTCACATATTTAGGTACTTTTTAATGTCTTTCAATAAGGTTTATATTTCTCTCTGTAAAGTCTCATCTACCTTTTGTTAGATTAATTCCTTAGAGACCTCATATAGCTGTTTCTGTTTGTTGCTGGCATATGTATACAGCCATAGTATTTGGATTTTTTATCCAGTAACCTTGTTACATTTCTTATTAATTATAATTCATTTGAAGATGCTTTTGAATTTTTTTCATGTATATAATAATCTCATCTGTAAATGTAGTCTTTTGTGTGTACATGAGGGGGCAGTTCTTTTTTAATGTATTTGGCATGAAATTTAGATTGTTGAATCTCTGAATTGTTAGTCATTGTCTTTTCACATATTGTCCTGCTCTGTTGGCTCATCCTTTTTTTTTAGACTCTTGTTAGAAATATTTTATGCCTTCCTACACATTAGTTGCATATCTCTTATATCTTTTGTATCATTGTTTCTGTGTGCTGCATTCTGGATTGTTTTCTTAAAATCTGTTTTCTAGTTTACTAATTCTCTCTTCAGTTGTTTATAATCTAAGTTGTCTGTTTTGTTATGGAATTTCATTTATTTATTTATTTAGAGTCAGGGTCTCACTCTGTCACCCAGGCTGGAATGCAGTGGCACAATCATGGCTTACTGCAGCCTTGGGCTCAGGTGATCCTTCTGTCTCAACCACCTATGTAGCTGGGATTACAGGTGTGTGCCACCATGTCATGCTAATTTTTTTATTTTTTGTAGAGAAAAGATCTCACTATGTTGTCCAAGCTAGTCTCGAATTCCTGGACTCAAGCAATCCTTCCACCTCAGCCTCCTCTGAAGGGCTGGGATTACAGGTATAAGCCACCATGCTCAAACTGTTATGGATTTTTTTTTCTTTTTTAAAGAATTTTCAATTAAAACTTCAAACAAAAGTAGAGAATAGTATAGTGAACACCCATTTAGTCAGCTTCAAAAGTTTATCAACATATGACTAATCATATTTCATAAACCCTGACCTTATTTTCCATATATCCCCACACCTTACTTCAAAGTTACCAAATCTGAGACATTATATCATTTCTTTTTTTTTTTTTTTTTTTTTTGAGTTGGAGTCTCACTCTGTCACCCAGACTGGAGTGCAGTGGCCACTCCCGGCCACCGCAGCCTCGACCTGCTGGGCTCCAGAGATCCTTCTGCCTCAGCCTTCCGAGTAGCTGGAACTACAGATGCACGCTACCACACCTGGCTAATTTTTTTATTTATTGTAGAGATGAGGTCTCACCAAGTTGCCCAGGCGGGTCTCGAACCCCCAGGCTCAGGCAATCCACTCACCTCAGCCTCCCAAAGCGTGGGATTACAAGCTGAGCCACCAAGCCCAGCTGACATTATATCATTTCTTCTGTAAGTACCTTAATATGTCTAGAAGATAAGAGACTTCTAAAAATTATTAACAAAAATGTTTCCTTGATATTCAGTAGTCACATTTTCACATGGATTTGGTGGATAGACCTGATCTCTACCAAAAAAATACACACACACACACACACACACACACACACACACATATATGTGATCAGGGTTTTTACCTTATAGCTCTCTTTTAACATACAGATTTTTTTTCTTTTCTATTTTTTCATATTCGTTGAAGCAACCATGTCCTCTGTTCTGGAGAACTTGTCATATTATGGATTTTGGATGTCATTTAACATGTTCCACTGTCCCACCTAGGTTATTTGTATTTCCTCAAAAACGGTAGTTATTCTAGAGATTTGGTCAAATTATGAGTGAATGTTTTTTCTTCAAGTATTTGGTTACTTTTATACATAGTTCACACAGGAACAATGAGAATGCATTCGTGTTCACATTTTTCCCTTTATTTAGCAGTGCTCAGAATAGTGAACTGGTATTCCAGAAGGCCTAGCAGTGAGCATTAACTTTTTTTTTTTTTTTTTTTTTTGAGTTGGAGTCTCACTCTGTTGCCCAGACTGGAGTGCAGTGGCCGCTCCTGGCCACCGCAGCCTCGACCTGCTGGGCTCCAGTGATCCTTCCACCTCAGCCTTCCAAGTAGCCGGAATTACAGGCATGTGCTACCACGCCCGGCTGATTTTTTGATTTATTGTAGAGATGAGGTCTCGCTGCCCAGATGGGTCTCGAACCCGCGGGCTCAGGCAATCCACTCACCTCAGCCTCCCAAAGGCGCGGGATTACAAGCTGAGCCATCGAGCCCGGCTTGAGCATTAACTTTTTAAACTATCATTATATAAACTAATGAGATTAAACATCTTCATTTTAGCCCATTGCCGTAATCCTTTTGATTTTCACAGTGTCTCATCTTTGGCCAACGGGAGTCCCCTCAAAGTAGGCTTCTCCTTCCTATTGACACAGCTTTAGTTGTCTTATCGTTTTCTTGCTTTCTAGTACAAAAAATGTTGACAAGTCTTAGGCTTGAAATGAGATCAAGTTTTTTTTTCTTCCTGTCCCATATCTGGAATCAACCACTTCTTCCATGCAGTATTGGTTCTTTTTAGTGGGAGATAGTATTTACAGACTATAATCTGGGCACTGGGGGTTCTCACTGCCACAGAGCTGGTCATAGTTTCTAGGCCCTTTTATTATAAAGAGCTATAGGAGTTGCTTTTTGTTATACCAACGAGAACATATACCCTTAGTTCATACTGACATTTGTAGTTTAAAGATCAGAGTTTTTAGGCCTGGCGTGGTGGTTTCATGCCTGTACTTCCAGCAGTTTCGGAGACCAAGGTGGGAGGGTTGCTTGAGGCCAGGAGTTCAAGACCAACCTTGGCAAAGTAGGGAGACCTCATCTCTACCAAAAAAATTTATATATATGATCAGGATTTTTACCTAAATTTATGGTTACATAAATGTTTTTACTGAAATTCTTTGTCTTTTTTCCTCCTATGCTGAAAAACTTGGTTTCTGTCAACACTAATCCATTTATTACACTCTCCCTCCCCTCCAATACATGTACATGTAGAAATACATAGATCATAGTTTCAGAATAGTAATACCTATATAACATCTATACCAGGCATGGTTGCACATACCTGTAGTTGTAGCCTAGTGACTCAAGAGGTTGTGACAGGAAGATTGTGAGTTCAAGCCCAGCCTGGGCAAAGTAGCAAGATCCCGTCTGCAAAACAAACAAGCAAGCAAAGCATCTAACAATATGATTACTGAAAGTAGTTTGAGATTGCTTTGTAGGGTTTTTTTGTTCTTGAGATATATTCCTGCTAGGAATGTAAGGCCAAATTACTCTTGCTCTGAAGTCACTCGAAATAGTTGTTTTCTGTTTGGTTAGTACACTATTAGGTTCATTTATTTCATCTGACTTTTGATTTTAGGGACTGCTTTTGTTATTTTATTTAATTTTGTTCTCTAATTATGTAGAATAAAATACTAGGTTCCAAAGACTACAAAGCAAACTACATTCAGAGAAATCTAGTTTTCAAACTTATTCCCTCAAAAATGTCCTTTCTCTCACTCCAGAGGTAGCCATTTTTAATGACTTTTTAACTTATCTTTTCATTATTTTTATATATGTAAGTAAATATGTATGTACTTGTATTCCTCACTACTTAGATAAAAGATAGCATTGTACCTGCTCTTCTGCCTCATTATTGTTGTTTATAACTTTAGCAGCACACACTGAGATTATCTTGTGGCAGCACAGATAACCCTCATTCTTTTGTACAGCTGTAGGGGACTCATTTATGAGCTGAATATGGTTCTCCATGGATGGATAGTTGGGTGGTTTCCAGCCTCTGCCGTTATAAGTAATGTTGTAGTGAATAGCCTTTTGCATCTGCCTCTACATTTTTCCTGGTGCATCTCTGACAGAGTCTTCCAAGTGCTGTTGCCGGGTGAAGGGACAGATGAATGTGCTTGGTCTGCCATCCTGATCCAGTTTGAAATTTTAGCTGTGGAGCATCTCTGTGGAATGTATATTGTGGCTTTAATAGAATCTGGCCAGTGAGTTTCTCTTACTGAAGTTTCTGTTTTATTTCTCCTCTCTTTTAGAGAATAGAGTACAGGGTTGAGTTTGGTGGAAACTAACCTCTAAAATCAGTGTAATGATTTCTGTCTTTGAAGCCCTCTGTGGGCAATATAGTCATAAAACTAACTTTTTTGTTTGAAATTGCAGCAAATCTCTTTATGAATACTCCAAGAACTTTATTGTGTCACTTGTCCTGGGAAAGGATGTGATCCCCAGGTAAGTGCTGGATGGCTTGTCTGTGGGTTGGGGCCATTGAAAAGACTGAGTACTGAGCCTCAGTGTGATTTTTTTACTGAGCAGGTTAAGTGTGACCAACTTGGAAGACCTGAAGAGAAGGATTTTGCGAGTGATTGCTCACTGCAATAAGCCTAAGGTAATTTAGGATGCTCTTTTAAGGGGATCTGCAGGAAGCTTGGGCCTATCCATGGTATGGTATGGGGAGCTGAGAGAAATTTTCTGCATTTATAAATAAAATGCCCTCTTAGCCCAGGGCATTTTATGCTGTTTCTTGAAGTTCTCCCTCCACCTTCTGGACAAGATTTTTGTCTAGGACTCTATATGTGATGCCTAAGAAAGCAAGTGGCTAGAGCAAGTATGTGAAATGTCACAGTTAGAAAATACTAGCCGGGCTCGGTGGCTCAGCCTGTAATCCCGCGCTTTGGGAGTGTGAGGTGAGTGAATTGCCTGAGACTGCGGGTTCGAGACTCGCCTGGGCAACTTGGCGAGACCTCATCTCTACAATAAATCAAAAATTAGCCAGGCGTGGTAGCACGTGCCTGTAGTTCCAGCTACTTGGAAGTCTGAGGCGGAAGGATGGCCGGAGCCCAGCAGGTCAAGGCTGCTGGGTGACAGAGTGAGACTCCAACTCAAAAAAAAAAAAAAAGAAAAAGAAAATACTATAATAGGGCCAGATACAGTGTCTCATGTCTGTAATTTCAGCACTTTGGGAGGCTGAGGCAGGAGGATTGCTTGAGGCCAGGAGTTCAAGACCAGGCAACATAGTGAGGCCTCATCTCTACAAAAAAACAAAATTAGCTTGGCGTACTTGCGTGCACCTGTGGTCCTAACTACTCAAGAGGCTGAGGCGAAAGGATCACCTGATCCCAGGAGGTCAAGACCGTGGTGAGCTATCACCATGCCACTGCCCTCCAGCCTGGGCAACAGAGTGAGACCCTGACTCAAAAAAAAAAAAAAGAAACGAAGGAAGGAAATACTATAATAAACTATCCCTGTTTTAATTAAGATTTGCTTTTTTCCAGACTTTTTTGTTTTGTGTTGTGACTGACAGTATTCTGATGTTTTTTGGCTATATTGACCCAAAGCTTAGAAAGTAAGGCTGCCAATTACAGATCTTAAGAAGTGCTGGTGTATAATCAGAAAAAATAAAATTTTAAATTTTCTTATCAACCCCCCCCCCCCAGTTTTTTAAAAAATTAACATCTAATGTCTTTAAAGAAAGGATAGGGCCAGACGTGGTGGCTCACGCCTATAATCCCAGCATTTTGGGAGGCTGAGGTGAGAGGATTACCTGAGCTCATGGGTTCGAGACCAGCCTGGGCAACTTGGTGAGACCTCATTTCTACAATAAAATCACAAAATTAGCTGGGTGTGGTGGCACATGCCTTTAGTTCCAGCTACTTGGAAGGCTGAGGTGGAAAGATCACCTGAGCCCAGCAGGTCGAGGCTGTGGGGGCCATGAACGTGTCGCTGTGCTCCAGCCTGGGTGACAGAGACTCCAACTCAAAAAAAAAAAAAAAAAAAGAATTAAGGGTAACTTTTCCTCTAAATGGGCGTTATTTGGTTTTCAAATATTCTAAGTGTGATGGCTCCACTGCCCAAGTGAAACCCCACACTCATGGCCCCTGATTGGTGTGGGTGTTTGTCCCGAGCCCTGAGAGTGGGCCACCAGCCAGCACAACTCTTGGCTCCAGGAAATCTCTGGTGACAGCGACTGCCCGGAAGAGTGATGCGGTTTCCCTTCTTGGGTCTCGCCCTCAGTACAAGATCCTGCTGCAGGGGTGCCGGTATGAAGTGTTCGGAGGAAGCCCTGACAACTTTCCCACCGAGCTGGAAGGGGGCGGCCAGACAGACCTGACCCAGCCTCTTCTCGGGGAGCAGAGTCTGCTGACGCACTGGTCTCCCGCCTACAGCTTCTCCAGCGACTCCCCCCTAGACTCTCCCCCCAGGTACCCCCCTCTGTACCCTCCTGGCAGGATCATCCACCTGGAGGAACAGGGCACCTCAGGGAGGTGAGTGCGGATGGGTCTGTGGGGCTGACACCGCCACTGAGAGAAACTCGAGTGGTGGGGCAGAGCAGCTTCGCTAGTTGGTTGTCCTTTTCTGTTGAAGGTTTGGCTGCTGCTCTGCTGCTCAGTACAGTGCAAAGTGGTCACATGAAGCAGAATTCAGCAAAATACTCATAGGCCCAAAGATGTTAACAGACCACATGCCGGACATCCTGATGAGAGCCTTGGACAGCGTGGTCTCCGACAGAGCGGCTTGTGTCTCCTGTCCAGCACAAGGGGTCTCTAACGTCGACACGGGGTAACCTGGGCCCCTGGAAACTGCCCCAGAAACGACGGACTCACACTTTTGCGCTTAAACTGACTGACTGTCCAAATGATTCCCGTGTCACCCAGACAGTGGCTGTCTAGCAACAGGAGTTGGGTGGTTACTAAATGTGACGGTCTTGTAGATGACTGAACAAGTCACAGGAAATGGGCCACAGCGTTAGCAGAATCAGGAGGGCGCGCTGAGGTGATCGGACTCCCAAGACTGAAGTGAATGTGAAGAAAGTCTGGTGTCCTGTGGCCCCTCGGCCGTTTGAGATCTGCTCAGGGAGGGCTGGAAGAACCTCAACACATCTGTGGGCTTCCCGCCCTCTGGCAGCTCTTTTCGCTGTAACTAACTGGCTTACAGGTGTGCAGTTGATTTTTTCAAACTGGGTTTCCCAGCTCTACAGCCGGGACCGTTGGGAGGGCGTTTTCTCCTGGGTGGCACCAAAGTCAGCCCTGGGCTGATCAGGAATGAGGACACAGCCACCCCGGAAGTGAGTGGCGGCCACGGCTCCTGCCTTCCTCAGCTCCCACACTTCAGCTCCTGGTTTACACTGTCTGGTTGTTCTGCTCACGTCAAGAGTCGACTGTTTCGTTCTCGTGTACTATTCTGGCTCTGAGGTCAGCCTGTGGAGTCAGGAGTTAAAAAAATAAAGCACATGTCATTACAGTCAGTATCTGTCTGTACAGTAATGTGCTCTGCTACGGGAGGTTTCCAGGTAAGTCTGATTTATTGAATGGTTTTACAGCAATCATGTTTTAAGGGATTTTGGGGGGGAGATTTCTTAAAGTTCTAGCTAAAGATGGAAGACTGCACAAGTATTGGATTCCGCCCCTCCCCCCATGGGAAGCCCAATAAAATGACAGTAGTGGGATTTCTCTGAAAAGCACAGACTCACAGGAAAAAGACTAGAACGGTCAGATGACTAGAGGTAGACAGAATCCTGAGGAGGAAGGAAAGACGAGAACTAGCCTTGCTTATAAGGCAGATCCCTGCACACCTGTGGCTTAGGTGTGAAAGCAGATGAGGACCAAAGGGCAGGTCTGCTTGAAATCTGGAAGCAACCTGGCCCTCCTTTTTCTCTGGGGTCGAGGGTGGGAACTGGATGCCGGCACAGGTGAGGAAACGAGGTGATGTTCCTCAACTCCTTCAGCCTGGCTCTGAGTCTTCAAGAAGATTCTCCAGGGAAATCTGACCTCAGGAGACAAACTCTTAGGGCCTCTCCTCAGCTATTGCAGTTATACCATCTCACAGTTTTGGAAAACCAGCAGAAGGCCCTTTTTAAAACTGCAATTGAAATGCCATGGCAGCATACAACTGCTACAAGTTTTGCTTCTTCACACTGTCCTGCACTTACCTAGTGGCAGAAAGTTAGGAGTCACTATGCACTGACTCCCTGCATAGTGTAGCGCTCCTGGTGTGCTGTGTCCAACCTTAACCTTTAAGCATGAGCCAAGGACTGCCAGACACTTGAGGAACAGGAGACAAAAGAAACAGGATGCGGGTAGTGGCTTGGGACCCGGAGGAAGTGCTGTAACACAGAACTGACTCAGGAGGCTCAAAGTGGACATTTATTTAGAGAGTAAAAACACCTGAAAATGAAATGCATCAGAGATGAAATCAAAAGCTCAAAGACAAACCAGGAAAAGGTTAAGAGACCATTCCAGGAGGTCCAGTATCAGAGTAACAGTTCTAGAAAGAAAGTTTAAGGACATGAGTTTCCAGATGAAAAGAACTTACCAAGTGCAGAGCACAGTGGATTAAAATAAACCCTAAAGCATGGTAGACAAAAGACTCACAAGATTCAAAAGAGAAAGTACATCCCAATGGTAATGGCTAAGGGAGATAATGGAAGAACTGCCTTCAAAAATCTGAAGTCAGCTGGGCTTGGTGGCTCAGCCTGTAATCCCACGCTTTGGGAGGCTGAGGTGAGTGGATTGCCTGAGTCCACAGGTTCGAGACCCACCTGGGCAGCAAGACTTCATTACTACGATAAATCAAAAAATCAGCTGGGCGTGGTAGCGCATGCCTGTCATTCCGGCTACTCGGAAGGCTGAGGCGGAAGGATCGCCGGAGCCCAGCAGGTCGAGGCCGCAATGGCCGGGAGCGGCCACTGCACTCCAGTCTGGGCGACAAAGTGAGACTCCAACTCAAAAAAAAAAAAAAATCTGAAGTCAGATGTGGTGACACTCCTGTAGTCTCAGCTACTTTGAAGGCAGGAGGCTCACTTGAACCCAGAGTCCAGGTCTAGCCTGGGAAACATAGCAAGACTCCAACCTCTAAGAAAACCATTTTAAAATAGAAAAAAAATCTGAAGGGAAGTTATCAAACTAGAATGTTAGACCCAGCCGTAAGTACCACAGTAGAAGTTATTTTCAAAGATGCAAAGACTCAAAAATAGTCGTGTGTTGCTGCACAGCTAGGCTGTATGGTACAGCCTACTGCTCCTAGGCTACAAACTTGTCCAGCGTGTTACTGTACTGAACGCTGCAGGGTTGTAACACAATGGCACTTCTCTTTTTGTTTTTGAGTTGGGGTCTCACTGTCGTCCAGACTGGAGTGCAGTGGCATGATTATGGCTCACCGCAGCCTCGACCTGCTGGGCTCAGGCAATCCTTGTACCTCAGTGTCCCAAATAGCTGGAACTACAGGTGTACATCACCACATCCAGCTAAATTTTTTTGAACTTTTTTGTAGAGATGAGGTCTTACTGTATTGCCTAGGCTGGCCTTGAACTGCTGGGCTCAGGCGATCCTTCTGCCTGAACCTCCCAACACTTTTGGATCACAGGTGTGAGCCACGGTGTACCCAGCCAGTATATCTAACACAGAAAAGGTGCGACAAAAATAAAGTATCTCAGTCTCATGGGACCACTGTTGTATATGCAATCTGCTGTTGATGGAAACTCCATTATGCAATCCATGATGTACACACTTCCTCCCACACCCTTTTCTCAGAAGCTCTTGGAGAAGCTGTTCATCAGGATGAAGCAAATCAATGGACAATCAGGACACAGGAAAAAAAGGTCAACAGAGAAGATGATCCGAGTTGTGCAGGAGAGGCAGCGTTGTTGCTACATGGCACAGCTATGAGTAGTTTCTGTCGTAGCAATCGTGCAGACACTGAATTGTGAAGCCCACCAAAATCAGTGAGGGGATAGGAGAGGGTTTGCCTGGGGGAGTGAGGCTCAACTGGGAAAAAAGCCTCACATCTTCCATGGTGGGAACGTCAACGATAATGGCTGAATCCGAAAGACTCGACTAGCAAGGAAAGCGGTATCATTTAGACATGGAGGGTAAATATCAAAAACTGGATGAACTGAACATGTTGCTTCTGGAGAGACTATTAAGGGGAAAGAGTTTTCCTAACCCTTAAAACTTTCTATAACTGCATTTTTTCCCCCTAGTGGTAGTCTCACTCTGACACCCAGGCAGGACAGTGGCATGCTCAAAGCCACCACAACCTCGAACTGCTGGGCTCAGGCAATCCTTACGGCTAATTTTTTGATTTATTGTAGAAACAAGGTCTCACCAAGTTGCCCACGCTGGTCTTGAACCTGTGGGCTCAGGCAGGCCTCTCTTCTCTGCCTCCCAAAGTGCTGAGATTACAGGCATGTGCCACTACACCCAGCTTAAAACTGCATATTTGGTAAAAAATTAAGAGTCAAAAATAAAGCCTTAGCTGGGCCTGGTGGCATGTGCCTCTAGTCCTAGCTACTCAGGAGGCTGAAGCAGAAGCACTTGAGCCCAGGAGCCTGGGGCTGCCGTGAGCTGTAATCGTGCCACTGTGTTCCAGCATAAGCAACAGAGCAAGATCCTGCCTCTGCTTAAAAGTCTTAAAAGCAATAAAAAGGAACATTCCGATAAGATTCTACCATGAACCTTTTTATAGTCCAAACCTAGGCTCCAGAAAGGATCTTGGGTCATGTAGTCCACCAGCCTCTACCCTGCTGCGCTAGGCTGGATTCCCAGTGTCTGCGGCTCCAGCCCCCAACTCCGGGCAGTGATGTGCACACATGCCCCGACTTGGCGTTCCCACGTGAGCACCTTGCCACCCTTCAACAGGTCCAAACCTGAAGTTACTCCACCCCGCTGAGTTGTTGCTGTGGACTTGCCCCCGTCTCCCCCAGAGGCGGCACTCCCTCTTTCCCTCCTGCGTAAAAACATGCCCTGCAAATGAGCATCTCCGACAACCCAGGGTTTTCAAGGGAGGCAAACATACACTAGGAGCTTGTCCATCAAGTCTAAAAAATTCAAGTATTACCAGTCATATGATTCAAGGATTTATTAAGTCATACATGCAAAACATACTGCTAATTGCATTAGCAAAAGATCAATGTAAAAACACTCCACAATTCTGCAACTGTCAATTTAAAAAATTTGTTCTAGTGGTTGAAAGGCCCAACGTTGTATTCTTGCCAGTGAGTTAAGTTGTACAGAACATCGTCAGCACTAGCACAGTTTACAGAACCTCACAGACCCAAAGGAACATTGTTAGCAAAGCAACGACAGGAAGCGTGTCCATGTGGGTGAGGTAAAGAGGGTCAGTATTGGTCAAGTGACAGTGTTGGTAATCTGGCAAGACAGTGATGTTAAGAAGGTTCAAATTTGAAGAATATCTAAAATAGTTTAAAAACTGTGAAGCTGCAACACATGATTTTTACACCTAGTTACTAGAAAACTAAGGAAAGCAATTATTAGCTTTGAATAAAGTAACATGAAAACAGGAAAGCACTTTTACTAACCTACAAAAAAAGTCTAATGCATGATCAGAAAGATTTTATAATACAAGGAAGCATATTGCTCAGTAAGAAGGGTTCTATAAGAAAAGCACTTCCTAAGTTAGCAGTTAAGGGAATGACAATTCAAAGATGAATTAAATGCCCAATTTTGGAAGGATGACAGGTGTGAGAAAGGAAAAGCTGAAGAAAACACTTACTGATAATACCAACCTTTCTTCATCATCTACTGCATATAACAGAAATTAACCTTTGAAAATTTTTACCTGTGACACTTATTACTCAGTTTGATTATTCCTTGTACAATGTAGTGTAAATTAATCTCCACTTCATAGTTTGTCAAAATACTGTCTTCATCCTTTGATCACGTCAAGTGTTTCACACACTCCACCCCAGCACACCCACAACTCAGAGTAGAATACTTCATTAGGAGACATGTGAATAAGAGTTCTGTTGAAAATCCAGCAAAAGCTGATCAACTAATTTTTTTAAAAAATTCACTATGAAATTAAAAAGACTGATCCAAAGAACTGAGTTATTCTCATCTCATTATAATATACAGTACAATGTTAGTAATGAACATGGGTTGATAAATTATCGGTGCATTAAATGGCAACGTCTCATTAAGGAGGCTGTTCTGCTTTACGTATCCGAAAACTACTTAGAAAGTGTATCTCCTAACTTCAGAAACTACAGTCTTAAGCAAAGGTCTTTAAACAGTTTAGTGCTTAGTGTTCTCAACACAACAATGCAACCTAGTTCAGAAGGTATTTTGGCAACTCTTAATCTGAGCAAGAGTAGGGACTTTTGAAAAATAAGGCTTTAAGAAGGCTTGTCATTTTAGGGCTAAATTTTAATAGACTGAGTCGGAACTCTTACATTTAGAACAAACAAAACCTTAAAATTACTGATTGGTTCAAAATGGTTTTATGGAAA